ACACTGAATCTAGAGATTCCTTTAGACTACCTTTTTAGGAGTCATTGTGTCGATTTCAACTCATGAGGCCATACGACAAAGGAGAACTGCCCCATAAGGTTTTCTAGGCTATAATCTTTACGGGAGCAGATACCAGATTTTTCCCCTGTGGAGCTGCCGGGTGAGACTGAGCAGATAACCTTTCAGTTACAGCCAAGTGTTTGACTGTTGCACCATTACTCAGCACCGATTCCAATGCCCTTCAGGTTCGTCTTTCTGTACAGTCCTGAGATAGAAAACTGAAACTCAATTTCCTAGTCTCCCTTACAACTTAAGTTGTCGTGTACTCCAGATTCAGCCAAGTGATCCATCTGGAGAAGACTCTGACCAGCTTGAAGACAGAAGAGGCTGTTCTAAGGCAGGGAGGCAGTGGCTTCTGATGAGAGAGTTCTGTGTGGGCTTGTGCATTTCTTTGGACCGCATAGTCCCTAACTTGGTCCACTGGTTCTCCCTAAGTATTCTGTTAGCTTCCAGATATATTTTAGAAAGCCCATTTCCATTACAATGGATTCTGCTGTCAGCAAAAATTCCCTGATCAAAATAGTATCACAGAAAAACATGCCTTAAATTTGATCTTAGATCTACCGAAACCAAATTAAAAAAACATTTGTGGGAGAAAAATATTAATCTAAAATAAACAACGATAAACTCAGAGCGGTATACCTACATAAACTCCTACGTAAGGAGCCTGTCCCTACTCTAGTTTCAGGACACCGATACTACTTGAAACCAGCAGTTATTTTGCCCCTGAAAGGGCATTTGGCAATGTCTGAGATAGTTTTGTTTGCCCCAACTAGGGAAAAGGGGTGCTACTGGCATCTAGTGAGCAGAAGCTAAAGACAGTACAGGGCACGGAACAGCCCCATAACAACAAAGCATCATCTGGCTCCAAAGCTCAATAGTACTGAGGTTGAGAAATCCTGCTCCAGACAGCAGTGTGTCCAGCCCTGATTCCCTCTCCAAAGTTTCCAATGTAGACTACAACTCTCTCTAAACTGCACAAGGAATCATGACCTTTCCCAGATTCAGTGGCACCCTAACTTAAAAAAACGAGATGTTGTCCAATCAATTCTGACTTGTGGTGAGCCCATGCATTTCAGAGTAGAGCTGTGCTCCGTAGGGGTTCCAGAGCTGTGCCCTTTCAGAAGCAGACTGGCAGGTCTCTCTTTCAAGGGTGGGTGAGAACCTCCAACATTTTGGTTAGTAGCTAAGTGCTTAACTGGGCCACCCACAAAGTCTACATTGGCACCCTACTGCCCTTGAAGCCTAAATTCCTTATGATGGTCTCACTTCCTACACTAGGGACAACTCACACTACTCACACTCTATAGTCAAGCCACATTGTTGTTGTTGTTACATGCCATGGAGTCAGTTCCAACTCACGGCGACCCTGTACAGGGTTTCCGAGGCTGTCAATCTTTACGGGAGCAGAAAGCCTCATCTTTCTCCCGTGGAACAGCTGGTAGTTTCGAACTGCAGCCCGATTCGTAACCACTACGTTACCAGAGCTCCTTAGTCAAGCCACATTAAATGTACTCAAAAGAGAAGCCTTTTTTACCCCAACAAGCTGTTTCCCTACATGGTCAAGTCTCACTCATTTTTCAGGTTATTCCCTCAGAAAGGTCCCTTTCATCCTTAAGTCTTGGCTAGGTGCCCCAGCCATGTGCTTCTATACATCCTTCTGCTTCTTTTATGAGAGTGTTTTCCCCTGAACTATAATTATAACTTACTTAATGTATTTCACCCTGGATAATTAAGTACTGTAAGGACTGAGAGAGCAGTGGTAGAATTCTTCCTGGTATGGTGCTATAGGATAAGCACTGGACTATGAATCACAAGCTTGGCCGTTCAAACCCAACAGACACTCCTCGGAAATTCTATACAGGGTGTCTATGAGTAGGAACAGACTCAAGAGCAATTAACAACAGCAGCAACATGTGGAGACCTAGGTTCATGCCCAGCCACCGTCCATTGATCAGTGGAGGTTTGTAAGCTGTTATGATGCTGAACAGATTTCAGCAGAGCTTCCTGACCAAGAAAGATGAGGAAAAAAGACCTGGTGATCTACTTCTGAATTATCAGCCAATGAAAATTCCATGGAACACAAGATTCCATCTCATAGTTCATGGGTCATCATGATTTGGGAGCTGATTAGACAGCAGCTAATAACAACAACACAAGGAATGAGATGCGGCTTATTTTATTTTTTATTATAGTACCAGTGCTGACCACTTTGCTCTAGTAATGAATCTGTTAAGTTTGTTATTATGCAGCATTGTTGTTGTTACTAAGTGTCATCAGGTCTAGCAACCCTGTAAAGAGTTTCCAAGGAGCAGCTGATGGGTTTGAATCACTGACCTTGCGGTTAGCAGTCCAGTGCTTATCCTACAGCGCCACAGCAGGATTCCTTATGTAGCACTAATAATTTTAGTAAAACACAATTAATAGGCACACATAAAGGTATGTAAGAAGTACAATGCAAGAGTTAGCACTGGTCAGACCTATATTAGACTATGTACATCAAAGGATTATGACTACGCTGCCTGTATCTATCAGAAAACCAAGAGAAGGATCTCTGAAATTGGGGAAAGGAAGACACATGATGACTGAAGACTGAAGGATATAAGGTTATTTAGCACAAAAGAATGAAGGCTGGGGGACTGAATGACAGCTTTAAATAATGAAACAGGGCACCGTAACTTATAGGAAAGTATATTTACACAGAGTATGAGAACCTGGTATCCATCTGTCTGGGAGAACATGGCTTAAATTAAAGCATGGAGAAGTTAATTCAACAAAGACAGCTTTTTAAAATATTGGTAAGCAGCAGAATAGTTTTATGATGAATGCTGCAGCTTGTCCTTCAATTGATTCATGGAATAAACTCTTAATGAGTGCCTCTCTGGTCCTGGCTTATCTATCATAACATAGATTAGTGAATGGTATTGAGCTCTACATAGATGTTATGAAAACACCAAAGAAGAGGGCGTCTAATTGAGCTCGAGGAGGAATAATGGTCAGGAACTGCCCACAAGCATGACACTTCAACTGAGTCTGAGGGAGGAGTGTGAGTGTAAACTTGTTAGTATAAGAAAGTGGACCCCTGGCGCCTTTCTGGTCATGTGGAGTTCAACACAAGGGACAAAGGCAAAAAGATGTCTAAATGACTCAGCTTAGTATTACAGGAGTAGAGGGTATGGGAATGTGGCACAGGAGCTAGAAAACAAAAATGGGTCAAATAATGAAGGCCTAAGAAGGAGTCCTGGTATGGTGCTGTAGGATAAGCACTGGACCATAAGGTCAGTTTGAGCTGCAAGGTCAGAATGTGCCCTTTGGAGATGTAAATTATTATATATGCCTGCGTGGGATTTTTTGTTTGTGTGTTTTTTAAAAATCTAAAGTGGATAGAGAAAAACACTGTTAACTGATGGTACATGGAGGGGATTATAATCATAGTAATGAAACAAAGTATATGATTTGTTGAATGTAAAACTGATGATATGCCCTGTAAACTTTCACTCAATCTACAATAAAAACCTTAAAAAAAAAAAAAGTTATGCTGGCAAAAGTTGCATAATACATATATTTACAACAACAATAGCTGAGGCTCCTTATGTGCAACCAAACACCTCATCGGAATCCGTTTCTTGGTTTGGAGGTTATGATTTCATGTGACATGCCAGTTCATCGGCTTAGTAACATGTTTACTGCTTCTGTTTTATCTCCTAGTTCATTGCATAGTGCCTGGGGTCTTAAAAGCTTGCAAGCAGCCATCTAAAGCACTATCACTGGTTTCTATTGATGCAGGGTGTAATCCTGGTGCAGGGCTGAAGGATAAAACACTGGACTGCTAACCACCAAGTCGACAGTTCAAGCCCATCAGGCGCTCATTGAAAATCCTATAGAGGATGGCTATGAGTCACAACCTACTCAATGACACTTAAAAACAACAACAAGTTCACCTGGAGCAACAGAGAAAGGAGAATCAAGAGGATATGCAATGTGTGGCTAATTTCTTCTTCAAACAACTGCCTCCTTTGTCATGAGACCAGAAGAACTGGATGGTGTCTGGCTACTATTACTGAACATTTTGATCAAAGATTCCATAGAAGAATCCTGATCAAACAGGTTAAAATACAGAACAGAATTTCAAATTCTCATGGAATCCAGATTTTCTGGATCCACTGATGTGTAAGATCCCCTGAAACTATTGCCTTGAGATCACCTTTAAACCTTAAACCAAAAGTATTTCCCAAAGTCTTCTTAAAACTTACTTTAACTTGTGAAGAATGTCTACGTTGAACATTATGCTCTTTTAATGACCATCTATATGGAATTAAACTATGGAAAGATTAAGCAGAAGCCCTACAGGGCAATGAGTTTATGCTTATGGGGGAGATACAACTCAGAAAAGGAGGGTGAGAACAGTCGCAGAACTCCAAGAATGCAATCAATGTCACTGAATTGTGCCATGGGGCTTGAAAAAGTTCATGAGAATGGACTTAAAGGGTAATGGTATTTCTCCATGAATTTTTGTGACGACCCCTTATACATGTAAAAACTGCTGAACTGGTGCATGTTCTTGTTGCATATATTTTCAATAACAACAGAAAAAGGAAATAATTATTTTATCTCTCACATGCAGTAATTTTAATTCAGTTTTCCCTGAATGTTTACACAATAACCTCACAATGCTAATTAATTACAAACAGTAAAAGCAAAACACTCAGAAGAGTGCATCTTACTTAAGCTATATTTGAAAATGGAACATGTTTAGTTCCATGTAATAACTGAGTTGCTGATACACGCTTTGATAAGGGCCTTTCATAAGAACCCTGAAATCTTAAGCCAGTGTATCATACAATAACCATTAAACTCCTTCAAAGTTCTTTTCCAGAACATCTAATGTCTCTGTTCCTAGAAGATGCTAATTATATACGAATCAAAATAATGTACTTTACCTGGTGGAGAAGCTGCATGTGATGGATCACCATAGTGCCCATAATGAGGTGGTGAAAGACCTATCCCAGGTTGGGACTGAGAATATGGGGGTGTTGCCACATATCCTTGTTGACTCATTATGAAAATATCATTCCAAAGGATAATTCCACAAAAGAATCCTGAAATAAGAAAAAAACAAAACAAAACAAAGTCAGCAAGAGTGCCTTTTAAAAATATAAATAAATACTTATGATAGTTTGAGAAGAGTCATAATTATCAGATGCAATGTCGTTGTTGTTAAATGCCGTAAGTCAGTTCTGTATAGGGTTTCAGAGGAATGACTGGTGAGCTTGAACCGCCAACCTTGCGGTATAAACTGACTTTGCAGTCCAGAGCATTAACCTTCAGCACCACACCAGGACTCCTCTACAATATGATAAATTGTATCATCCTCCTCTAAAGAGGATATAACCATAGGTGTAGGAAACTCAGTAAATCACTTCAATAATTCTTGGCAAATGGAACCTGGATAACTACCAGTCACTTTTCCATTGGAAGCTGCTTGTTTCACAGACAGTGTGGCATAAGTGTTCCTCCTATGTTGTGCCTTTAGTACCCCTGGCCCCATTTCAGCTCAGAACACACCACGGACAATCAATCATCTTAAGTCATTTAGTTGACTCACCAGCATAATCACCAGTAGTCTGTTTTTGATTGCTGTATTTATAGTGCTCTTCTAATCACTCATTTGAATCAGGCAGTTAGGACAAAGAGAAATCAATAGTCCAATAAATATTACAGAAGATAAAGAAGTTAATATGAAATTAGTCTATGAACCATATTTTAACTATGCCAGGTGGCAGCCTGAAAGCTTTTAGGAACTGTCAGTGGTTTCTCAAATGTCAGCAATCTATTTGAATTTAGATGCTCCCACACCTCTAAAAACATATGCAAAAACATATGCATAAGAAACTAAGAAAAAAGGGTAGTCTTGTAGGTGTACAGATACACACAAACACTTACAAATACTACATCCTCATACTGATTCTGCTCAGAACCTAAACACCAATTTGCTTTCAGTTTTTTATTTTTTTCCAAGTTTTCACAAAATAAGAGACATTTCATAAGGTGGACCATTTGAAAATACCTAACAAGTTAGAAAAAGCTCTGAAGCTTGACAAGAGAAGTAGGTTCTCCTTCCAAACCTGTCAATTTGGGCAACTTAGAATAAGCTGGTCCTCAGGTTCCTTTTTATAAAATGAAACCTCTAAGAACCTTTCTAGATATAAAACACTGAATTTACAATTTCTCTCTGGTTTCCTCATCCAGCACACAAAAAAATATTCTTCCATTTGCTGTTAAGGTAAAAGATCAATGATACCTGCTAAGATTTAAAGTAGGTGCATATTCAGAAAATGGCATTTCAAATTCTGCATCTGATTTTGTTTTCTAATCAAACTGTAACAGTCTAAAATTAAAGTGACTAAGTAAAAAGATTGTTAAGATCACTTTCTTCTAATTGGAAGGGAAGACCTGTAAGGAGGAGTGGAGTAGGCAAAGAACTGCTGGTCTGCTTTGTTACTGACAACACTTTTTCCCTCCTCCCACTTCGCAGAGAGAGACGTGGCAGCCTGAGCTTTGGTCAAGCTCATCCTACCAAGCACATTTAGGAAGTCAGCACTAACACACCTACGCAGCAACCTGTTGCTGAGTGACAGAAGAAAGGCAGGGATGTTCACTCCAAAGAGCAAGAAGCAGTTGGAACCCTCTTTACTGTTCTGGGAGGAATTTGCTTCCTTAATCAACCTAGTTTGCCACGTCAAACTTCCTCACCGAGAGCACCAAGTTAGAGAAACCTGACTCAGCTTCCAGCGGCGACATGGCAGACAGCCACTTGGCAGGAACAGGCCTAGGGTGGAAACCTGGGGAGCTCCAATCCCAGAGCGGACCCCCCCCCCCCATCACCGTTACCCCTACTCCGGTCCACTGTCAATAGGCAATTCTAACCAAGGTGCACTTCTCACCCCATCCAAGTTCGAATTTGGTCAAATCCATTTCACTCCCGGGATGTCCCAAAGCTTAAAGATACAGTTGCCATTTTTACTATGACTATTTCAAACATCCCTTTCCTCCAGGAAGGAGAAAATTAAGTTGATACGAAGAGAAAATCGCGCAGTGACAGAGGAATACGGTGGCTAATGAGACCCTAACCGGGCAGTTCAAGCACGCCCAGACACAAAGGTTGGGGCGGGGGGCAGGCCCCCCAAAAATGTCCACGCCCACCTCTCCCCTCCCATTATTAAACTGAGCGAACCCGCTAAAGGAGAAAGGTATGAGTTCTTCCGCCCTCGGCCCCGGCTACTCGAGAGCATCCAGCCTCTCGCCACCCCCCACCAGAACCGAGCACCCCACTCCAGATGTCCTAGGGGAAGGGGCTGTCCCGCAGGAGCGCAGCCGGGCGAGACATTACCTGGACCAGCTCCCTCCCGCCGCCGGGCTTCTGAGAGCCTGTGGTTCTGCTTTTGGGGCCGGTGGCCCCCGCTGACCCAGCTCCCGCTAAGGCCGCTGCTCCCACAGCGCCTTTCCCCGGCGGTTGTCCCCACAGGCGCGTTTCACGCACGGAGTTGCAGCTGGGCTGGGAACTGCCACGTCAAACACTCCCGGCTGCGCGCCCCCGGCGCCGGGGCTAGGACCGGCAGCCGCGCTCCCGCCGACGCACGCGCGCAGGCAGCCTCCGCGGAGGGCGGGGCGACGCCGCCTAACCGGTCCGCGTCGGCCACGCGTCCTCCGTTCCTTTTGCTTCTTTCCTGTCTGTTTTTTCTTGTTGGTGGTGGTTGTTTTTATTCCTACAAGTCAAAGATTTTAAAGTTGTCACTAAGTCAGAGCAACATAACCTTCGTGAAGCACCCGCATAGAAGGGGACGGCGGATTTAAGATTCGTTCATTTTTTCATTCAACAGGTTGTAGGTTCAATCCTTCCTTCATTGCATATTTCAGTAACTACGATATTCAGGGCAGTGCCCTGCCGATATAGACAGGAAAATGCACCATCCCAGACATACGGAGATTAGAGCGAATCTGGCAGGAGTACACTTACTGATGACATACTCCCGTGCAATGCACTACTGAAGAAGGAACTCCTGAGGCAGCCTGGGAAGGTGTAAAATAGGAGAGGCAGAGAGAAGCAATGTCCCTACTGAAGTATTTTCATTGTACTAGATTTGTAGAGTCCTGGTGTGGCGCTGTGGGTTAATGCTCCAGACTGCCAAGCCCTTTGAACTGCAAGGTGGGCGGTTCAAGCTCACCAGCTGCTCCTTGGAAACCATATACAGGGTCGCTATGGGTCGGGATCCGCTCGAAGGCACTTCACAACAACAACACCAGGTTTGCTAGATTTCCGTTTAGTCCTAGTTGTGGCTACATACTCATTCTTTATGAAATAGGAACTGCCAGAAATTCAAGCCAGATTCAGAAAAGAACGTGGAACTAGGGATACCATTGCTGACATCAGATGGATCTTGGTTAAAAGCAGAGAATACCAGACTTTATTGACTATGCAAAGGCTTTAGACTATGTGGATCATGACAAGCGATCAACAGCATTGCGAAGAATGAGAATTCCAGATGACTTAATTGTGCTTATGAGAAACCTGGACATAGGCCAAGGGGCAGTTGTTAGAACAGAACAAGAGGACACTGAATGGTTTAAAATCAGGAAAGATGTGCAAGAGGGTTGTATTCTTTCACCATACTTATCCAATCTATATGCTGAGCAACTAATCTGAGAAACTGGATTATGTGAAGAACGTGGCATCAGTATTAGCGTAAGACTCATTAACAACCTTTGATATGCAGATGATACAACCTTGCTTGCTGAAAGCAAAGAGGTTTAAAATATTTACTGATGAGGATCAAAGAACAGTCTTCAGTATGTATTGTACCTCAATGCAAAGAAAACAAAACCCCTCACAAATGAACCAATAAATAACTTCATGATAAGTGGAGAAAAGATTGACGTTGTCTAAGACTCATTTTGCTTGCATATACAATCAACACCCATGAAATCAAACGACCTATTGCATTAGGCAAATTTGCATATGACCTCTTTAAAGTGTTGAAGAGCAAAGATATCAATTTGAGGGCTAAGGTGTACCTGACCCAAGCCATGGTATTTTCAATAGCCTCGTATATACATGTGAAAATTGGACAATGAATAAGGAATAGCGTAGAAGAATTGATGCATTTGAGTTATGGTATTGGAGAAAAATATTGAAAGTAACATGGACTGCCAGAAGAACAAATAAATCTGTGTTTAAAGAAGTACAGCCAGAATGCTTCTTAGAAGCCAAAATGGTCAGACTTCGTCTCTCTTGCTTCAGACATGTTATCAGAAGGAATCAGTGCCTGGAGAATGACATCATACTTTGTAAAGTGGTGGATCAGTGAAAAAGAGGAAGACCTCAAATGAGATGGATTGACACGGTGGCAGTAGCAAATGCTACACTGCTGGTCCTGTGCCATACTCATAATTGTTGTTTCACTTTAGTCCTCGAGTGAAACAATTGTGAGTATAGTGCAGGACTGGGCCGTGTTTTGTTTTGTTTAGCACAGGGTCGCTTTGAGTCAGAACTGATTTGAAGGCATCTAACAACAATATGAAATAGGTTGGCTGGTTTTGCCCTAAAACAGGGATCTCTACCATGATATTTTTAGTGGCCTTGTATGCATGTAATGGAGTCCTACAGTGCTGGTAGCTGTAGAATAAACACTGGATGAACTACAGCTCTGGTAGCGTAGTGGTTATGAATCGGGCTGCGAACCTTAAGGCCAGCAGTTCGAAACTATTAGCCGCTCTGTGGGAGAAAGATGAGGCATTCTGCTCCCGTAAAGATTTACAGCCTTGGAAACCCTGTACAGGGTCGCTATGGGTCAGAACTGACTTGACAGCACTTAACAACAACAATAACTACTACAGGTCGGCAGTTCAAATTCACTAGCAAGTCCCCTGAAGCCCTATACAGCGTTGCTATGAGTCAGAACTTACTGGATGGCACTTAACAACAACAGTGCATGGAAAAGCTGGACAGTGCATAAGGAAGATCAAAGTAGAATTGATGCCATTGGATTATGGAATATTGACTCCATCATAGACTGCTAGAAGAATGACAAATTTGTCTTAGAATAAGTGGAGCCAGAATGCTCCTTAGAAGAAGCTAGGATGGCGAGATTTCCTCTTGCTACTTTGGATATGGTATCTGGAGGGACCAGTCCTCTGGAGAATGGCATCAGGTTTGGTAAAGTACAGGGTCCACAAAAAAGAGGATTGGCATAGTAGCTGAAACAACGTGGGCTCAAACATAGCAAATATTTTGAGGATGGTGTAGAACTGGGCAGTGTTTAGTTGTGTTTACATAGGGTCACTTCAAGGCTCAGCTACCTGTACCCAAGAAAGAGCTGAGAAAGAAAGACACTATGTGGAACTTGCAGATCTCTTGTGGTTATTGTTAAGTGCCATCGAGTTGGTTCCCACTCATAGTGACTCTGTATAGGGTTTTTGAGGAGTGGCTGGTGGATTTGATCAAACAACCTTGTAGTTAACTGTGCTTATCCTAAAGAGCCACACCAACACTCCTAGCTATCCTTTTTTTTTTTTTTTAATGTTTTAATGTGAATTATGTGATAGTTTACATGGGAGAACGTTAGTTTTACATTCATCCTATCCTATATTGTTTCATTGCCATGGTTACAATCCCCTCCATGCATCAACCAACCAAAAGATATACACTACAGCACTACAAACCTGCTCTTCACACAC